TATATATATAATATTTTGATAGATATAAATAGATTTTGGGCAGTATGACTAAGTGCATAGTTTATGAACTATATAGCCCAAAGCTTTAGCCCTCACAATATAACTTTAAACCTGTGTTTCTCCCAGACTCATGAGAGCCATAAAGGCAAAAGCACTTCTTCTGTGGTGACTGCAGACCTCTTCCCCTCCACCATCTAATCATGGATGATATAGCTCCACAAGACACGTCTTCCCTCATGAAGGGGGCCAGAGTCATTGCTAAGGAGGCCAAACGACAAGCTGTTAAGAAGGTCAACAAAGTTGTGGACCATGCCTCAGACGAGTACTCCCATAGTCGCACCTACCAGCGCTTCCAGGATGAAGACGATGACTACTACAGCCAGCCGGATGGGAACTACACAGGAGACCACGCCAATGATGAAGAGGGATCCAGTGACGCCACTGAGGGTCACGATGACGAGGATGAGATATATGAAGGGGAGTACCAGGGGATCCCCTCGGATGCAAAGGCCAGAGATGGACAGGTGGCTCTGGGACAGCCGCTGGCGGATGGCCTGAAGGACCGGAGAGAGCTGGAGAACGAGAGGCAGGCAGACGAGGAGGAGCTGGCGCAGCAGTACGAGCTCATCATTCAGGAGTGTGGACATGGCAGGTTTCAGTGGCAGCTGTTCTTCACTCTGGGCTTGGCGCTCATGTCTGATGGTGTGGAGGTCTTCGTGGTGGGCTTTGTTCTCCCTAGTGCAGAGACGGATATGTGTGTGCCTGACTCGAGCTCTGGATGGCTAGGTAAGAATAACAGGAATGTAACTATTGTACATAAACACTATATATTTATGCATATAGCACATTGTATGCAAAGTTTGCATTTTAACAGTCATGCATTCCCTGGGAATTCAATCCATGAGCTTGGTGTTGCTAGTGCCAGGCTTAGTTCACCCAAAAAGGTGATACCATTTTCCATTTTGGAGAGTATCACGATGCATGCAGTACGCGTGCTTTTCCAGCACATAAACAAAGCATGCATGTGGTGCTGTTGATGTAGAACACGCATGCGCTGTGCCTCGTTTACATTCAGAGGAGAGCACGTTCATGTGTCGTGATACTCTCCAAAATGGTGCCCAAGGGTGACGCGGAGGAGAAGAATTGTTGAATAAAGACGTTAATTGAATTTTGTTTGTGCACAAAAAGTATTCTCGTAGCTTCATAAAATTACAGTTGAACCACTGATGTCACATGGACTATTTTAACAATGTCCTTACTACGATTCTGTGCCTTGACCATGGCAGTACCCTTGCTTTCGGATTTCATCAAAAATATCTTAATTTGTGTTCCGAAGATGAACGAAGGTCTTGAACGATGAACGAAAAGCAGCAAATTAATATATTAGAATGATTTCTGAAGGATTATGTGACATTAAAGTCTGGAGTAATGATGAGTGCTGAAAATTTTGCTTTGCCATCACAGAAATAAATTACATTAAAAATATTTATATTTAAAAAGAAAACAGCAATTTTAAATTGTAATATTATTTCACTAAATCATTGTTTTACTTTTTAATGAAATGGTCAACTTGAGCAAAAGAGTAATATTTTCCAAAATCATTGACCAAAAACATTTTTTCTTTTTAAATATATGACCTATTATTTTTATTTATTATTATTATTGGCTGTTGTATTCAGTAGTAGATTATTATTTAGTGTGGCCAGACAGTTTACTATACTGGACAAAAAGGAAGCAACAATATCAAAATATTTTGATATTACTTGATCATCAAGAGCAAGTGTGTGATACTTCTTTAAACAGTCTACAAGTTCTCATTGACCTGGTTTAGGGTCATTGATATTCATATAAATTGGCATTCTTATGTGTTTTATAAGTTTAATCAAGTCTGAGTATCTCTCTTTCTCTCTATCCTTCTTTTTTATCCTGCTTTTTCTTCACTTATGCACTCATCTGGAGAGCCCTGAGGGCATTGTGTGGCATGCGCTGCTTCCCTCTCTTTCATGCTCCCTCTCTCTCTTTGTCCTTACTCTGTCAATGGCTTTTAAGACATAATCGCACGTGGCCGGCTGTGACTGCCGGTACAGCTACTGGCTTTTGAGATCAGATACGGTCATCAGCAGAAGAATTTGCTGCTCCTCAGCCAGAAAGATTGAAACACTGTATAGGGATCAAAAGAAATAGCTTTGAAATGCTTTTATGTTTTTTAAATCTTTTTAAACTCACAACGGCTGCATTTATTTAATACAAAATACAGTAAAAACTGAAATATTGTGAATTTATATATATATTTATATATACTATATTTTAAATAACTGTTTAAATATATTTTACAAATGTTTTTTACTTGATACAATGATCATTTTTTTCAGAATTATTTGATGAATAGAAAGTTTGAAAGGATTTATTTTTAATGGATTTTTTTGTAACAGTATAAAAGTCTTTACTGTCATTTTAATCACTTTAATCCTTGCTTTTAAAAAACTACTAACTCCAAACTTCTTTCAGAGAACAATGCATTGTTTCAAGCAGATATTCAGGCAGAAATTTAGAGCCCGCTGACTAACAACAGTCTAATTCAGTCTTGTTAAACAGTGAATATCTCTCGGTGAGTAAGGTAATGGCTGCTCTCCAGCAGACACAGTGGTGCAGTGGTGATTTAGTGCAGAGATGCTGCAGAATATGAACTTTCTGCAGGTCCTAGTTAGCATTCAAGTGTTGTCTCTTTTTCTGTTTGCTGTCATAGTGTAACTAGTGAAATGGCACAGTACCACATTCCACATCTGATGTTTAAACCTGATCACAATTCACACATTCATTTTCTGTAGTCATTTACTCATCCTCAAGTCATTCAAAACCCATATACTGTACTGTATGCTTTTCTTTCATGAAATCTAATAGTAAGAAGTTTAGCAGAATGTCCAGGCTTCTCTTTTCCATGCAATAAACAGTATACAGTGATTTATACTTTCAAGCTAAAGAGAAAAAAGTCGCCATCAGAAATCCATACACTATGCTACTAATTTTAAAGAATATTGAAACAACTGTAATTGACAAATTTGTTCAAACTGTTCAGTTGTGGTTTTATAAATGTTTAAATAGATGCTAAATATAATGGGCCTTTTATATTTGAGCTTTTTACTGAGACCAAATTATTTTGCTGTAGTGAATTTTCAAGAAACAACATTTTGAGTGTTTGGATGATATGTTCTGTACGAACAGAACCGCAGTGGACTGAACAAGTTGTGTCACGTTACTGACATACGTGTACTTTGATATTAACTATCCTTCTCCCAGGCATTATTCAAGGCTATCATGAGTTAGAGAAGGAAATTGACTTTTGTTATGTTCATGCATGCAGACATTATTTGATCCGTTTCTGCCTGTACAGGACAATTTAGTTCAATGTAGTTTCACAGAGTATTGGCTTTATTACCCAACTACAATCAGACTATTCATCCTGATTAAAATCTATGAATTATACCCAAGGGGCATTTAGTATTCTATAGAAAGAAGGCAATGGAAAATTGCTGCATCACACAATTACAGTAATGGATGGTGTTGTGAACACGTTGTGTGATGTATCTTCCATTACTTTTGGTTTAGATCCAGGAGCCCATCTTTGTCTATTAATCTGTGGCTGATTTATCTACTACATCTTATCATAACCCCTTTTCTCGCTCTCTTTCTCTGTCCACCCTCTCTCATTATTCTCTTTATCTGTCTCTTTTTGTGCATTGTTGAGTCTAGGAGACGCTGAGCTTGGCTAAACTGCAGTGAAATCACCCACTGCAGAGATTACAAGACCTGCACAGCCTCTCAATGTGTGCGAGAGAGAAAAAGGGATATATATATAT